TGGTGGTGCATGCCTGTAATCCCAGCAACTCTGGAGGCTGAAGCAGGAGGACTGCAAGTTTGAGGTCAGCCTGGGCAATTTGTGAGACCCTGTCTCAAAATAAATTAAAAGGACCAGGGGTGGAGCTCAGCAGTAAAGTGCTCCCCAGTTCAATCCCCAGTCTCTTCCCCTCAAAAAGAACAACAGAACAGTTAGCCAGCAAACAGATGAACTCAACACCTGGCATAGTCATGTCAGCAGAGGAGTTGAAGGGAACCTTAGGAGTATCACTGTCATTCAGGATGAACAAGGGCTGTGACCATGGGCCAGGGGTCAAGCTGCACCTCCCCAAGGAGCACCATGAGAGGCATAAAACCACAGGAAGGGAAACAGCCCAGCCAGATACTGATGAAATAAGCAAGCAAACAACAACATAAACTCCAGGGAGGGGTCTCACACACACACACACACACACACACACACACACTCTCTCTCTCTCTCTCTCTCTCTCTCTCTTCCCCCCCCCCAGGGCAGCAGAAGTGCATTACAAGAACAACAGATATTAGATTTATCAGAAAAATCTTTCGAAGTGGCATCACAAACATGTTACCAGAGCTAAAGAAACCCAGGATGAAAGGGTAAAGGAAGGTACCACAACACTGCATCAAGTAGATAAGGTCACTAAACACCCAGAGATTGTACAAGAGGACTGAATGAAGATTCCAGAGTTGAAAAGAACAATTGGAAGAACAAGAAGAAAACTTCACTATGTGGCTCAAGCATAGATTTAAAGTGGCAGAAGAAAAAATAAGCAAAACTGAAGCCAGATCAAGCCAAAGAACAGAGTTAAAAAGGAAGAAAGAAAAATGAAGAGCACCCCAGAGAAACACGGAGCCCATTTCACAGACTTTCAGACCCGAGCCAGAGCTGGCCTGTGAAGACGCACACGGCGAACAAGCACTGGAAACCTACTCAAAAGGAGAGTGAAAACATTAAAGAAGCTGAAAAGCTACATTTGCATTATCCACTTAAGACAAAGGAACACACACACACACACAAAAAAAAGATGAGATGGAGAGAAGAGCATCAAATCAGATCCAACTACATATGTAATACCACTGAAGGGGAATGCACAAACATCCAGTCGGACTGGATCAAAACCAGCTCCAACCCCAGGCTGCCCGTGGAGGACACATTCTAGATTCAAAACTACAAAAAGACTGCAAATAAAAGCATGGAAAAAGATACATCACAGGAACATAAGAAAGCTTGTGTGGGTACACTGATAGCCAAAGTAGACCTCAAGACAAAAGGACGCTACCAGAGATAAAAGCGACAGTTTTTAATGACAAAAGGGTCAATGTGCAAAGAAGAAATAACAATTCTAAATACACCCCTTCCCAATAACAGAGCACAGACTATATAAAGCAAAAAATGACAGAAATGAAGAAACAGAAAATTTAATATTACTATTGGGATTTTGAAACTTTCAATAGTTGAGAGAACAACTAGAAAGAAGACACACAGTAGAACGGTATGCCTGAATACAGACTGGACCCAACAGACACTGCAGGCCTCTCCAGAACAACAGAATGGACATCATCCTCAGGGCCACAGGCACCCTCACTGGGATGGTCTGCGTGAGGCCCTAAAACAAGGCTTAATATACTTAAAAGAACAGAAATCCATCCGACCTGTGCTCTGATCACAAAGGAATGAAATTAGAAATCAGCAGCAGAAAAACTGGGGGAAAGTCACAAATATGTAGAAATTAAACAACACACTGCTAAATAACCCACGGCTTAAAGAAAAAGAGAAGAATCAGAAATGCTTTGAGGCAGTGAAAACAAAGACATAATGCACTCAAACTTATGGGATTCGACTGACAGAGCTCAGAGGGAAACATACAATCACAATTGCATACATCAGAAAGAAGAACGACATCAAATCAATACCTAATCTCCCACCTTGGGAAACCACGACAGAGGGAAAAAGACCAACTAGAATCTGTACAAGCAGAAATAACGATCAGAGTGGAAATTAATGCAAAAGATGAGAAAACCAAGAGAAAAATCAACAAATGTATAAGTTGGTTCCTTGAAAACTGCAACAAAATTAACAAGCTTTTAGTTGTGCTGACCGACCAAGAAAAAAGAGAAAACTCCGGTGACTGGAATTAGGAATTAAAGAGGAAACATCACTACTGTACTCATGGAAATAAAAGGGATCAAAAAGGAAGACCATGAAGAACACACCAGTAAATCAGAAACCTTAGATGAAATTGCACATTCTAGAAGATAAGTTGACTAAACTGACTCGAGAAGGAGTAGCCAACCAGCAGAGATGAAACTGGTAATGGAGGGAACCCACCATGCGAGCACACTCAGACCATGTGTTCTACGCTGACTGCCCCACAACTTGGGACAAGATGAGAGGGAGAAATCTGTGGCTCAAGGCGTGAGTCAACTCAGTCTTTGACAACTATTCCCTAAATGGAAATGTCCTCTGTAAGAGGATGTCCCTCTCGCTGGACGTGACAATGACAACTTAGAAGAGATTTACTGAAGTGAGCAGAGGTGCTGAGGCAGCACGCCACCCTGACAACACAGGCACCTGGTGCCAGACACAGGGGAAAGCAGAAGACGTCCTGGTGAACTCTGCCTACAGCCAGTGGGGCTGCTCCAAACACGCAGCCGGCCAGTTCTGGAACACACAGTGTCAGAGGATGGGGTAAGGGAACAAAGAGGCCTAATATATGCTGTTTATTGTAGAAAATTACCCAGATTGCTTGGTCATTCTACAGCTGTCACCTCTAAATTCATTCTTTGAAGTTCTGTGTCAAACACTGTTGCACTGCCAAGTTGTTTACTGGAAATACAGGCTTTCCTACATTTGTATAAATAAAAAAAAAATTTCTTACCACGTTTCAATAACAATATTAGATGCAAGCAAATAACTTACTTTACAAAAGATAAAAATCTAATAAATGGCAACAGCTTAAATAGGCATAAGAGCAAACCTTTTCCAAAAATGTGGACAACTACTTATGGGACACAGGTGCTTTTTTCTATGTGTCTAACACAGATCAGAGGGACTGAGTTCCCAGGGAGGCCGACTCGGGAGGCGAGCGGCCAGAGTTGCAACCCCTGGTCTTTGCACACCAACCACGTGACCCGGGGAAGCTACTCAATCTCTCTGGGCCACAGCTGCTTACATCTGTAAGGAGAAAGAACCTAGCAGAGTTTCTATGAGTAATAAAGTGCACGAGCTACACAGGAAGCCCTGAGAACCAGGCCCAGCCACTGTGAGCATCAACAAGTATCAGCACCATCAGCACCATGACTAGGGTATGTGAGTATTTCCCCACAGGTTCCTGTGCTGGAAGCCTGGTCTTCAGAGTGGCAGTGCTGAGGGGCAATGTAAGAGGTGAAGCCTGCTGCAAGGTGACTAGAAAGGGGTTGACGCAGTTTCCATAGGATCCCTGTTCCCAAAAGAGCAGGATAACACAGAGAGTCTGGCCCCTGAATCCCACTATAGGGTCTCTCTCTCTCACACACACTCCCACAGCGACACCACCCACCATGTTGCCATGTAGCCAAATGGGCCTCACCAGAGCTGAGCAGGAGCAGGATCCATGCTCTGGGACCTCGGGAACTGTGAGCTAGGTGACCCTCTTTTCTTTGACATTTTGTCTTTATATTTTGATACAGCAACAGAAAACAGATTAACACAGTTATTGCATTTCTAATACAAAGACACTGATGCCTTTCTCCCAGATCTCTCCACTGGATACAAATGATCTCTCTCAGCAAGCCCAAGTACTTGTCAGCAAAAATGCTCGGAAAAGTACAGAGTCAACAGTGAGAATAGCCACAAGCACACTGGACAGGCTGTGAGCCACACAGGTCTGAATGTCCCTGAGTTACTTACCTTAATATGCTACAAACATTAGAGATGGAGGCTTTGAAATTTTGCTAAGCCAATTCGTGCTCCATTCAAAAGAGGGTAACGCAAGATGGTTTGGTTAGTTGTCAAGTCGTGGGTTGTATAAATGCTAGTTTAAAACAAAAACAACCAGAAAAGTGGTGTGGTTCCTATTGGTTATATTAAATTATATTTGAGGTCTTTTATTTTTCTAGCTGCAAATAATAGGATAAGAATCTATTTGAGAGCAAGACTCAAATTTAAATAAGCTGTAAATTTCTAACATAACTTAAAAAATTCAGTTCAGCCTCTTTTTATGTGCAAGACTAAACAATGAAGTTTATAATTTCAAATCCAAACAAATCACTAACAAACTGGGCTCCAATTCCAGCTCTGTTCCACAAGCACTATCAACGGTGTGGCCCAAAATATTGTATATCTCCTAAATAAAAGGGCAGTGATTCCTACCAATTTTACATGATGGAAAAGATTAGATGAGATAAATACTAACAATAAGCAGTTTTTGTAACTGTCAATGAATAACACAAGAAAATATAATTAACTTAAGCTTTGAAACTCCTCTTTCTCACATAAACACAATGAAAAAATAATAATCTTAGCCAAGATGTAAGGGAGAAAGCATAAAAAGAAAATAATTGAAAACTCCTTCTTTAGAGTGGAAAAATTATTTTAATATCTAGGAGGATAAATAGAACAATATGTTGCCAAAAGGAAGACTGTAAGAAAATATAAACATTTACAAAATAACATAAAGGAATTTAGAAAGAAATAATTTATGTCCCAGTGAGAACCAAAGACAAAGTCTAAATAATGAGGAGCTCCAGGAAGATGTAACTGTGATGGAATAAAACTCACCCACCAAAGTGGGCTCTGGGGATATGATTATTTAAAATTACTATATCATTATAAAGTAAATATGCTTTAATATTCAGAATAACAAACTGAAAATAGAATGCTATAAATTCTATGAAGGTTTACATCTAATGTTAAAATACTGAATGTTTCCTATTTTATGTATATCACTATAAAAAGTAAAAAACAGGGCTGGGGATGTTGCTCAAGCGGTAGCGTGTCACCTGGCATGCATGAGGCCCGGGTTCGATCCTCAGCACCACATACAAATAAAGATGTTGTGTCCGCCGAAAACTAAAAAATAAATATTAAAATTCTCTCTCTCTCTTTTTAAAAAAAAACAAAAAAACAACAATATTCCTATGTAAGTAAAGAAGACTGACACATCAAGAAACATGATTATTCTTTCATTCGACAAGTACCTACTAAATGCTCACTAAATGAAAATTAACACAGTCAATTTTCAATTTGGGGATGTAGCTCAGTGGTAGAGCACCCATCAGTTGAATGCCCAGTACCAAAAAAAAAAAAAAAAAAAAAATTTAAGTTCAATTAAAATAAGCAGAGTTCAACAAAAGGATACTACTTTTTAACCTTTAGAATTAGCAACTGAAAAACAATACAGTGGTCACTCACACACAGGTTGATGGGAATGGAACTAGTATTACAAGTTTTCTGGAGTGGAGTGTTATTAGGAAAATATAGCAAAATATTACCCTGCTAATCTCATACTGCCCAGGTGACCTGGCTGCATTTCTTTTCTTTTTTTTTAATATTTACTTTATAGTTATAGGTAGACACAAAACTTTATTTTATTTTTTTATGTGGTGCTGAGGATCAAACCCAGTGCCTCACACATGCTAGGCAAGTGCTCTTCCTCTGAGCCACAACCCCAGCCCCACCTGGCTGCATTTCTACCCCACCCTAACCTTACCTACCTATGAAGACAGGGTGCCTCTTCAAATGGGCTGACTGACAACTGGCTGGATCCAACATGGCCGCCAGTGGCCACCAGACACCCCAACTGCATAGCAGTCCCATCTGCATGCTAAAGGACACATCCTAAATCTCAAAAAGTGAGCAATTAATTAATTAAATAACTTATAATAAAAGCACATAGTCTCATTTTAGAAGAATATGATTTAAAGATATGGAAAGCTACTTATGTTGTATATAAGACATTATATGTAATATGATTGTAATTTATTCTATACAAACATACACATATACAACCAAAAACTGGAATGCAAGCACAATGTTAACAATTATTTTGTGTGATGCTATTATTTTTCTTCTTTATACATGTTATTAATTCCCAAACTTCCTGATGATCATGCATTATTGTGTAGCCAGAGAAGTGTTCTTGGGGGTTTATGCCCAAAATACTCTCCCACTTAAGCCTACCATGTTAATCCCATCCCCCTGTCGGTGACTGTATCCTGCCAATGAGAAACAAGGAGACCGCTGGTATGGGGGCTCCAGCAAAGTTCCAATGCCATGTCCAGACGTAGTTCATTGTTTACCATTCTGTGCACATTTACCTAAATATACCCACTATGCAGCAGACATTAAGCTAGGCCAGCCATAGGGTTCATGAAAAAAATAAATATTTGTCTTAAAAATACAGAATGCTAGGAGTGGTGGCACACACCTGTAATCCCAGGCATGATGGGAGGCCAAGGCACAGGATCACGAGTTTGAGGCCAGCCTGAGCAACTTAGTGAGTCCCTGTCTCAAAATGAAATCAATAAAGTGTTGGGGTATGCAGCTCAGTGGCAGCATATTTGAATACCGTGTGTGAGGCCCTGGGTTCAGTCCCCAGTATATATATTAAAAAAAAACCCACACACACCTTATAGTATGTTAAACTGGGAAACATACAATCTAGAGGCGTAGCAGAAATCTACTAAAAATTCCAAGAAAAATGTGGAAGTGGTAGTACATACACAGAACACTGAGAGCCCACTGAGAGTTAGTAAACTCCAGGGACATCTTGAAGGGTCATTACTGCTCATGCACAGATAAAAGGGACATCATCAGACCCCAGGCCCAGGCCACAACACACTTCTTGGCCTGCATGAAGGCTCAGAGTAAAGAAACCCGTACCAGACACTGGCTTATCAGAACAGAAATATCCTCTCTGCCCAAGGCAAACCACTACATTCTGCCTGGTTCTACAGGCAAACCAAGCTTCCTTGAAGGAATAGGTCCACTTTATACTCCACAATGCAAAGCTTTATGTTCAGCATAATCTGGTTTTCACATCATAATTTCTTTACTACAACAATTAGTTCAAGCGGGTCTGGTGGCACCCTCTTGTAATTCCGGCTTCACAGGAGGCTGAGACAGGAGGATCACAAGTTGGAGATCAGCCTGGGTAACAAAGGGAGTCCCTGTCTCAAAATTTAAAAAAATTTTTACAAGCCTGGGGATGTAGCTCAAAGGTACACTCATATATTGCTGGTGAGACTGCAAATTGGTGCAGCCAATTTGGAAAGCAGTATGGAGATTCCTTGGAAATCTGGGAATGGAACCATATCATTTGACCCAGCTATTCCTCTTCTCGGATTATACCCAAAGGACCTAAAAACAGCATACTACAGGGACACAGCCACATCAATGTTTATAGCAGCACAATTCATAATAGCTAAACTGTGGAGCCAACCTAGATGTCCTTCAGTGGAGGAATGGATTAAAAAAATGTGGCATTTATACACAATGGAATATTACTCAGCACTAAAAAGAATAAGATCTTGGCATTTGCAGGGAAATGGATGGCATTAGAAAAGATTATGCTAAGTTGCTGTGCCCCTCCCCTGACTCAGGCAATGGCAAGGCCCTACTGAGGTGGATGGCGCAAGGCGTCCATCCTCTGGAGGAGCGCGGTATATTTCTGGGAATGGGCTGGTTTGTTTTTGTATTCCTTTAATAAGTATAGTTGCAACTTCTCATATGACCATTAAGTATGAAGGAAAAAACATGACTTTCCTAATTAATGCAACTACTTCTAAAGAATAGATCTGTTTGCTCTAAATGCAATGATTCAGCTGTGGAGCATAAATTGTTAATTTCTAATGAAAAACTCCCTGTATTCCTGTCAAGGAAGTTTTTGAGAATTTAAATTAAAATCTAGAGAAGAAGAATTAATGTTAAGAAGACAGATTAGTGCTTAGTACTGGGCAACTTGTTCTTGTTCCTGTGCACAATGGTTTGTGCTCTTATTCTTGTTTGATTAAAATTAATAACAAGTAAACCACTTGCCGTAACCATGGCACGGGTTCCAGTCAATAAGTCAAGAAAGAATAGTCAAGGTATAGGCCAATAGTTGGGACATTTCTAACTATTATTAAAAGTTAACTAAACAGAAACAGCTCAAAGCAAAATGCAAACTAAAAGGAAAAATGCTTGCTTATGCATAAGCCAAGATACATTCTTCTATTCTAATTGTAGCTACTTTGTTTCTTTGAATAATGATTCCTGTTTTGTAATCACAAAGTACTGTGAGCCTGCCAAAATGAAAAGTATATATGATCAGCTTCACAAGTAAAGATTGGGATTCAGCACCTTCACTTTGGTGTCTGTGTTGTTTCTCCACCCCTCTTTCGCCGACTCCTCACCATTCGCTCGTTTCCTGAGACCCCCTGTTGGAGCTGGACTCTGACACTAAGTGAAGTTAGCCAATCCAAAAAAAACAAATGCCAAATGTTTTCTCTGATATAAGGGGGGTGAGTCAAAGTGGGGTAGGGAGGGAGAGCATGGGAGGAAGATTACCTCTAGATAGGGAAGAGGGGTGGGAGGGAAAGGGAGGGGGAAGGGGAATAGCAAGGATGGTGGAAAGTGATGGTCATCATTATACAAAATACATGTATGAAGATGTGAATTTGGTGTCAACATACCTTATATACAAACAGAGATATGATAAATTGTGGTATAAAGGTGTATTAAGAATTGTAATGCAAAAAAAAAGAGTTCATGTATAATGGCATAAGTTGGTGTGAACATACTTTATATACAGAGTTACGAAAAATCATGCTATGAATGGATAATTATGAATATAATACATTCCCCTATTGTCATGTTTGTAAGAAATAAATTTAAAAAAAATAAGAAAGAAAGAAAAAAAAAATTCCAACGTCACATAAACCCTAGGGAAACACTAGGGTATCTATTTTAAACAAATAAGACTGTCTTACACCAACACCCTATCAAACTAGTGGTGTCACCACATGGTTCTGGTGGTATTGCTAATCAGGGAGATTATGTTTACTATTATTTCTAGGAGTCCTAAAGCAATAACCTTAACCATCAAATGCAAAATTCTTAATCATCAATCCACTTTGTTCTCCTAAGTAAGAAAAGTCGTTAGATAAATGGTAGTACCATAGGAGAAAACAAAGCAAGACAAATTTACCACAAGAAAGAAACCTAACCAACTGTGTGGATCAAACAAAGCAAAACCCGATGAGATACTTCTGACGCCCAGCACTGCTTGGCTGCTCCTTGGCACCTCACCATGGACGCCAGGAGGAAAGACAGGAGGAGCAGGAGTCTGGAAGGGAGCTGAGAGAGCTCTTTCTCTAACAGTAACTAAGATGTGAAAGAAAAACGTGAGTCTTATATTTCCAAGCACCTAAGAAAATACCTAAAAGCTAACAGAAGTTGCTAAAATCACAGGAATTTTACATACCCAAACTTACTTATCTATGATAGAAATCTTTTTAAAAGCAATTACACAATTCCCTGCCTTTTTTAAAAAAAAAAAAACAAGCATTCTAAAATTTAGATGATTTGGGGCTGGCCAGAATTAAGAATTACTGTTTGGTTTTGTAATATAATGATGCCTTTAGGGACCATTGGGGTATGCATGACTATTTGCTCCAACCCAAATAGTCCCAGGTGACCATATGCTTTTTATGTGAAATTATTGGCTTGTGTTTTAATCTAGAACCATGCTAAGAAAATAGAAATTATCCATACTTACTGGAATTTTTAAAAAATTAACTATTCAAAGACAACATGGACATAACATTACAAATCACCTTAAACACTAAGCAATTCGTTCCTGGTTCAACTCTATTAACAATATATTGAATATACCAAGGTTATTAGAGGAAGCAAAAAGCTTCCTCAAGAAATTTCTCTGTCCACTGAAATGATAACAGTTATTGTCACAGCAGCTGACACATCCGCAGAGCTGCTTCTGTAAGACCGTCTGGGGCATGGCAGACTCACCTCACCCCGCGGCCCTCCTGCAGGAGAACCAAAGCAGAGCTGAAGCACCTTGTCAGTCACTCTCCTGGTCAGAGACGGAGCCGCTCCTGACAGGCAGCACAGGCTCCTCCACACCACAATCACTGGGTGCAGGTCACAAATGAAAAAGGAATTTTGAATAAGAAAAGTGATTTATGTTGTTTAAATCAAAAGCAGAAGTCCTCAGCAGCCTCAACCCCAGCCATCTGGCTTCTCTGCAGGGACCCACCGTCCCCAGCATCGCACTCCTCCTTTCCTACCAGGCTCCTTTCCTCTGGCAGCCTAAGCACCCACCCTGCCCCACGTCATCAGTGTGAGCAGGGCCCTCCGACTCTCTCGGGTCCTTCCAGCTGTCAAAGGCAACATCTCTGTTTACCGCTCCAACTTGTGTGGGGAACCACGGACAATGTCCACGTCTGCAAAGGGCAAAGGAAGCGAAATGCTTTCCACAGTTAAAGGAATCCCCTAGGGGCCAGGGCAGTGGCTGTGGGGGAGCGCTTGCCTGGCGTGCAAGGCCCTGGGTTCGATCCCCAGGCACCACATAAAAATAAACAAATAAAATAAAGGTACTGTGTCCATCTACAACTAAAAAAATTTTAAAAAAAGAAAAAAGAAAAGAATCCCCTGGTCCAGTCAGTGTGAGGATGCTGGACCTGGACACCTCCCTCTGGCTGCCTGACCACAGACTACGTAATAGGAAATGGGGTAATTTCTAAAACGGAGCCATTCAAATTGCCCTTCAAAGTGCTAACCTAGAAAAATTCCCTTTTTGTCCACAACAAAAAGCAGGCATGTTATAGAGTCTTGGTCTACAATAATATTTCTGTATTTTTTTTCCTGAATAAAAAATGCATTTGTAATCTCCTTGTCATATAAAAATTCAATAAATATGGGGCTGGTGTTGTGGCTCAGCGGTAGAGCACTCACCTAGC